CAGCCTGGTGAAAGACGGACAGACAGACAGACAGTGGAGTCTTAGTAATAGGGTCCCGTTTTACCCTTTGGACACGGAACCCTAAAACGAGAGAATTTTTAAATTAATCATCGATATACCAAGGACAATCTCCACCAGTATGTAGGTGCGCCGAACGAAATTTTAAGGTCAGTTGTACCGGTCTCCTAGGTCCGTCTGCCCTTTCTGGGACTGGTCTTGAATAATCGAGGAAATGCACTTAAAGTCGTGTTTATATTTTAGCGATTCTGGATCATCAGAAATTTAATTCCATGGGAGAATCTTTTAGGGTGTATCCGACTTCATAATCTTTTTTCACACTTTTGTTTTAATTCTTTCGTTTAGTTAACAATAAAGAAGAAAGATAAGATTTAAATGTTTCATCGTAAGTAAAGACACGAAATGCAAAGGTATAAATGTTTATAATAATTATGCACACGGGAGCCCTCGAGCTTAGTCACCATAACGCGTAATAGTAGTACGCCGAGGTTCAGGTTAGGTGCCTCGTGCGCCAGGCCACCTCAAGTCCGTCGGAACTGTAAAGGCCCCTAAGGCCAACAGTGGCTCATTCAGCCCAAAAAAAAAAATATCGAAATTTCGGTAATTTAAAGGGAATACGCAATAAAATAAGTAAAATAGTTCAACAGCGCAGTATTCGTAAATGTTAAACAATGTTACAAAAATACAAAATTGATACTGGTGGACTGGTGACACTGGTACAAAGGTATTTTTTTTGTCTGATAGATCTTCCAACAACCTATCTTCTCATTAAATTTGTCGTGCTCTTTACGGTACACGTATAATCTTTTTAGCAACACTACGGCAAACTATGAATTAAGTTAAGTATTCCAATACCCCGTATTAAAAAATCCTAGGGTAAAATATGCAAAACACCAGTTATCGATGAAGTGATGCAGTCACCGGTAATATTCGTATAAGCTGATGTGATGAAATAATGATGGCGTACTAATTTTCCCATCGACAAAGTAGTGGCACAGGGCATAATGTAAATTGCGGTCGCGGAGAATCTAGAATGACCACAACTCAAGAGTATAACTTAAATAGAATGTAAACCTTATATTTTTAACTTTTACTTAACATACCGAACAAGTTTCGAGCGCAAGCAATCGACCTTTGATTTAAATAAATCGTGTAGCAAGAAAAAAATTAATTCAATTGACCAATCGGTCGGAATGAAGAGAAAGTAGCCAATTATCTTCATGAAGGGCGTCATGCGACATTTATTGGGCCTTTTTCTTTATTTTGTTCACACTCATTTAAAAAAAAATACTGTAATTGTGAAGTAAAATCAAAAGAAATCAAAAATCAAAAGACTAAATACCTACCTTGAATATTCGCGTAATATTTTTTTAAGTTCAGACAAAGAAAAGGACGATATATTTTTGGTTATGCATTCATTCATGTATTGAACAAACGCGTTAAATCTATTTGCCTCTACGTTAAACTTTAATTACATCGATCGACAATAGCTTTTTAGTCTATGCTTGAAACGGTTTACGGCGTGAAAGTCTGTTCTCATGCAAAATGGCGCGAAATGGCTCCTTAGCAGCCGAAAGCACAGACTTCTCAGAGTGTGTGTAATAATTTCTTAATTCAACCGTGGACATAACATGCAGGTGACCTTGGATGCAACATTAATATTCTGCAAGTAACATGCTTTCAATCTGCCCACCGATGCCTAATGATTTCGATTTAAAACGTGTCCGTAATAAAGAGTCCGAAAAATTGCAGTCAAGTGCGCAACGCTTGCGCGTATGATAATAATTTGTATACTTTATTTGAATTCTTGATCCTACACTAGTCAATACACAAATATGCGGCGGCTATTGCAAAAGTAACTGGGTATTTTTTTATTAAAATTTAGTGGTAAATTTATGATCTTTGTTAGAAAACTCACTCTACTCCTCTTGTTGGATGGTTTATGGATATCTTATAAACTACAGTAATCATATAATAAACACCTAAAGACATTTATAGTTTATTTCTGAGTCGAACAGCCCATTGCGTATTAGTGGAATAAGTATATATCTACCTACACATTTTGTAACTACAACAACTTTAATTAAAAAAAATATATATAACACAAAATATGATAAAAAGTAAATAATACATAACACAAAATATGATAAAAAGTAACACTTCCACCGAAGGTAAGAAGTCATAAAGTTGTTTAGAAATGAAACTGCGTGTATGTAGAACACGTTTTTGTCACGAGTTGATCCGAAATGATGTTGCATTTTTAATATTAGCGGTAACACGGCCGCCCTAGGCTTTCGACGTGGAAACTAGAAAAAGAAAACAGCACAAAAGAATGACTCTGCGTAGGAAAGCGGGAAAGAGTATGCGATAGTGGGATGGCGGGGGTCTGTTCTCATATGTAGGCCATCGGCTGTTCGCCGCTAGGTGCATGCACGTTGTTTTCCGTCTCACGTGGCGAATGAACGATCATTCTCCATCGTTCGAAAGTGAAGCCAATGTAAGTTGACTAATGCTATGCAATACCGAGAGCATAATTCAACGAACGATTAGTATATTTGAATTCGGAGGGTTATATTGTGTTAGGCGAATGAGTATACGGCTCTGATGGCAAGCGATCACTGCTATCAAAGGGTATTCGCGGCAATGGAGTAGTTTATACAACGTCGCCATCTTAGTTCTATGAGGGTGGACAGTAAAATACGGCAAAATAAAGGGGACACAAAGGGAGCGGAGCGGGGCAGCATTGTAGCATTTCCGAACATTTAGTAACAAAGCCGAGGCAGCGTTGAGTTTGCAAATTGCTTTCATGTGCGCAATGAACATAATCTGTCCCGTGTCAATGTCACAGATAATATATTCTTGCCGCGGCCCTGCTATAAGTAGGTTTTCTTCTCGACTTAGAGCCAACAGGTCACGTAACGTTGCTTTCGTTGGCTAATATATCATGCAGTTATGAACATCATCATGCTGCGTACAATTCGGGGCGTCCACTGCGGTATGTGGGATCGCGGTCGATTCATGCAGGTCCTGACATTAAGTTTGACAGACTTTTATGCTCAAGCGTACACAAGGATTGCATCAAAATCACGTACCCTGTACCAAGTGGCCACCTGTGGTATGGCGCCGTTGACACCACCGAAAACAATATACATACATATTATATTAGACATTGTTACATCATTACATAAACTAGATATATGTTGATATTAAATGAGAACTAAAGACGTATAAATTGAATGAAACAAAAATTAAAACAGCGAGATATTTAAAGACAAAACGGTCACATTCGAAGCCGTCAGTAGCTTAAAATAGTTAATTAACGTATGTGATTTTAGGCGAAACAGCAAGAAATATAAATATTGCTTTTGGTTTCAATCAAAAACGTTCGGATTTTAAATGTAATTAGTTGTATAATTACACAATTCTATAGTATCAATATCTGATAGTAACCATGTGTTAAACCTTCAACAAAAGGTATTGTATCAAGTTTTATGAGCGCATGTATGACTATTAATGGTAATGAATGGGTCAATTAGGTTAAACTATACAATATTGTGGGAAGATAATGGTCCAGTATCATCTCCTCATTGAATTAGTTATTACATTTCCTTTTATTACCTTTCCTTAAAGCATTTCTATCGATAAAGGTCAGCCATATTCTGATACGGCTGTCGGAGGCATAGAAGCACATGTTGGCTGGTCAGTAGATCGACACGCGCCTCGACGGCGTGCCCAAGAAATGACCATCGTGTAACGGTAACTGAGAACCGGTTCGTAGTGCTGGTGGCTTGTGACGTTTCCGAGATCTACCGGGATTGAGTCGTGCGTGCATTTGGACGTTTCCGACGTCTTTTTTATTTGGCATATTATGCTGTGCGCATCATTTCTTGTCTCATACGACCTCAGGGTCCGTCAGCGGTAATATTGGATGTGGTATTGTAAACGTGTTATGTCAGAAAAAAAGTTTATCAATCTCCTCGAGTTCTATATCTTATGAGCCATCTTGTGTGATCCTGACGGCAAGATCGGATGCAGTATATAGGAAGCGAATTATATTATTCTTTTAGTAAATATCCCATCCAATGTTGAACGTCGGTGAAATACGCTTAATTTAAAAGTCCCAATTGTCTTCATTTACCCACTTATATGAGTAATGCTTTACAAATAGATCGCCACTAAAAGCATTGCTTAATGAACTATTTAAATTGAATATTATGTTATTGGTTTTATTATGAAATTTTGGTACAATTTATTGCTAATCGTAAATGGTAAATATCAATTTTAAAGCTTGAACTTATAAATAACATCTAAAATGCAAATCGAATTGAAACATTCTTTCTAACTTTTTTGTGTCACATAAATTTGGCCAAAAATACAATCTCATCGAAATAAAAGTATTGAAGATCCGACTTACATTATGTATTATCCTCATAAAAAAATTCAGACAGTTTATTTTCTGAAAACTCCGAACTAGCATCTGTACCATAAAGGAAAAGTAGTGACAGTTTCGGAAAAACAATCAGTTCCCTAAATCTATGTTAGAAATTTTAGATTTGTATGATAATTCGCCGACACCATACATTCAAATCTCATACACATTTTGATGATATCAAGCAAAAAAACACCATCCACTTCAGTGGACATCACTTATCCCCAACTCAACTCAAATCGTCAAGCGTACTATTATGTCTCGTAGAATTTGTGAGCGGTTTTGCATCTTGCATATGCTTTCAGATCCGTGGTAAGTGAATTCGTGGTTCCAACATTTGGCTGAATTAACTAAGAATGGTGGAACTTTTGTGGACCCGGCGTAACCCAAAAGTATAAACGCCATCAATCAATTCGGTCTTATAAGGATGAGCCGTAACTGCCAAGTGGCGTGGAAAACGCGCCAACTGTAAGCGTTGCGAACGCTTTATCATTGCGGGTTGTCGACGTGATGGTTTAATGTCTGCTTTATTGCGATTTACGGGCACTTGTCACGCCCACGCGGCGTAGGCGAGGCTGTCACGGAAGCCCGGCGTAATGAGCGCAGCTTGTGCCTTGCGAAATTAATACACGAAAAAAGTTGAGTGAACTCACACTATTCGAGAGTTGAGTACGGCTACAGCATCTTTTGCTTACGAGTTCTTTTTTTGAAAGGTTAACATTCAAACATTTATACAGATACTCCGCAAAAACGTGTCTGAATTCCCTAAAAATCAATTACAAAGTTAATTTAAAAGTTCTATGGATGAGGCTTTAATATCGCTTCACTTCGTGAGCGGAAGCCTCGACAAATACTGAAAAGAAAGTCGATCTTTCACGGGCTCGATATTGGCATTTGAATGCCAAATACTCATCGGGGCGGAAAATAAACGTTAGGCAGAATCACTTTATTTGTAAGGAGTAAATGAGGCATGGTTCTAGAGATCTCCCATATTAGAACTTATACTAGCGGACTCCACATAGGTTGCCCTTTAAACAGGTCTTAAATCCGAAAACAACTTGTAAATGAAAATGTTGATTAAAATAACCATCTTGTAGTTGACCGAATACTGAATCTAAACCATTCTCGAATCCACTTGAACACAAATTTTAAATAAAAATTCTGGGAAATTCTGGGAAATAATATTAACGATTCGCGGAAAAAATGTTTAGAACTATATTTATACGATTACTGCGTGTATTATGAGTATACCAAAAAACGAAACCACTCCAACTGAACTTACGAGATAGATAATTTCTTATGATAGTAGAATACTTTTGAATCTAGGTTAAAATATTATTCATTTCGCTTTAACTAGCATTTCGCTAGACTAGATCGTTCCGAATAAGCCATAAACTTTGATAGTACTTTATAGTGAAAATACTTTTTGATCTAAATGTAACGTTTTCTATTACTTCTATTAAACCTGAAGCATAGTCTAATTATGTTTCTACATTTTGTGAAGAATAGAATAGTTACAAATAATTCTTCTCTAGGTACTGGGAGATTAATTATAATAGCTAATGTATCCAAGAACTACTTAGAAGCTCATTAGGATTCCAATACGCGTTTTATAATGAAAACAGAACAGAAGACTCATCATAAAATTCTACATACTATGCTGTTTTCATAGAAACAAGTCTATCCAAAGTAGAAGTCCGAAAACGTAATAAAAAGTAAAAAAAAAACGCCTATACTTACAGGAAAGCAACCAAATAAACATTGCATTTTTGAACCATTACATTCCACATTACTGATGAAGGATAAATCTCCGGCTGACATTTTAAGAATCGTAAAAAGGGCGAGAAAACGCCCGGAGAAGGGCTACGAGGAAGCGTTCAAAATTGGCAATGAAATTCTTTCAAAATGGAATGAACAATTTGAAAGTTGATTTCTTACGCGTACTCGACCTAAATCCTTACTATCCTTACTTATATTATAAACGCGAAAGTTAATATGTATTGATCGATTTTACTCGCACTTTATTAAAAGATTGCAACGCATCTGCAATCCTACGGCTGTCGATAATGTCCAACTTTAACTTTTGCAACACCCGTAGAGTTGCGGATGCGTTGCATCTTTTAATCAACGTGTTACCCGGACGGACCAGCCGATCGTGCAAGAGCGACGAATGTCGTGTACCTGCCAATCGCACCGAAACAGTGATATTCGATGAGAAAATTGACACGTAAACACTACAAACACCAATAAAGGCCCTGTATGCCTTTTCCTTTCAATCAAAAATGAAAAAGCCACGACTGCAAAAATTGAGCGTGAAATTAAGCGCCGACGTTGAAAGCTGCCACCGGAAGCGACGCGAATCCAAAACTATTACAGTGATTACACTCCCCTGTTCGGAGTTTTCATGCAAAAAATATGACCGATTATGCCCTCGATAAACCTTCGCAGCCGTTAAATGGGATGACAACACATAGCTGCACAACAAAGCTAGTTTTCAACCGATTGTAAAAAAGGAGGATACAGTCTCAACGAGGACTTAATTCGGTCGTATTTTTATAACGTTTGTTAGAACTGTAGAACTCCGTCATTTATGAATCGATTTTAAAGAATCTTTTTGGAAATGGATGAAATGTTTTCGGTTTATATCCATATTAATTTTATAAGTATTGGACTTTAGACTCCCGAGAAACATCAGGGTACAAAAACAGAAAATGTATCGGGAGTGAGGTATTTTTGACTATGTTTCAAATATGGATGTATTCGTCAATGATCTCGATTTATCAGAGATCAATGGAAAAGTACAAATAGCAACAAAAGATAGGCATTTGTGTAGTTATGACTTTATTAACAGGCACACCTACATTACAGATTAACCATGTAGGGCGTCTCGAAAATGAATACCGGCAAAGAGCAACGACAAGACGATAATAATTTCAGTTTCGTTATAAATACAGGTATTATATTTTTTTCTTTTAAATATACACGACACATTTTCAAACAGGGAACCTTGTTTGAAAATGTGTCGTGTATATTATTATAGTCCCAAACTAAGCTACGTTACGGTTTACTGTAACATAGTACAAGCTATGGGTACTCGATAACCGATAAACATAATCGAACATACTTTTTTGTAAGGAAATACAATATTATAAATATATTTAAACACACGGACACTGGAAAAACGCTATGTTAACCCTGTGGTGCAAGACAAGTTCAGAATCCACTGCACTAATCGGGTCAAAATACATTAATCGGGCAAAAAAAAAAAATACAATAAAACAAACTCAATCCAAAAAAAATCTCTAGTTGTTCTCATTACCTCATCGTAGTTAGAGCATACAGTGATGCATCCGCTTTTGGTTCGTGTGGTTCTAACTGGACGTCCGTAGTGGTTCAATTTACGCCTTTTAAATTCCAACCGCTTCGGAGTAAACGGGGTCTTTATGTGGCCGTAAATCGCCGTAAATGGACGTTTACACCCCATGAATCCCCGGATTGCTGGTCGCATACCGGGCGAAGTTATGATCTGCCCAGCGTTTCACGGGGATTATCCGGTTTACTTAAGGGGCGATAATACTTCGTCCATTCCGAACAATTTGTTTAGAACCGATGTAAAAGCTTCACTACAGACTAGTTGTAAATACTCTTTACAGATGGATCGTGTTGAATACGTGTTAGCTATACTTTGTTTTATCGAGCTAAGAAGGTAGAAATAATAATACTTTTACCAAATCACCGTAGTTTCACTTTGCACAACAATAACACTGGTATAATTACTTATTTTATCACTAATGAAACACCACTCAAACGATTTAATTTGTGATACCGATTGGGCAGCACTATCGCGTATACTTCTTGATAACAGCCAGAGAAAGACGAAGACCCCTGAAATGCTTCGTAGAGCTTCATTTATATCTTATAGAATGACACTTTTTATAGTGTTGCCAACATATGTTACGTATATTTTTGTTCAAGATACAACATAGAAATGTAAATGCTGTAAAGTTTTGTTGGAGTGGTTTAAGGTTAGCTTTCAATTTTTATTGTTAAAGTTGCTTTGGAGAGTATTTAATGTTATATAATAGAAATATATGACATTACACATCATGTTAACGTAGTTAATTTATTACTATCATACATTCCATGTAGTTTTAACAAACGTAAATGAAAAATATAGACGTTTTTGACCATCACGGCAGCGTTATGTTTACGCAAAATTCTCATGTATAATGTATATTTATTAATTCAACATGTATATTGAATTACTCGTGAGTGCCCATTAAATAGATGTAGCGGAATAAGCAATAGAGATTTTAACCGGAACTATTGTTGTAACACTTTTGCGAACAACACAACGCTAGGGCAAGCGCGGCGCTTAGTTGGTCCTCGCCTATAAATAGACCACTGGCTCCCGCGCCCCGTTGCCTAGTTTAACGCCCGGTTTCTGACACACTGATCATCGTAGAAGTTAACTAATCGGCTGTCAAATGGCTTTTCAAATGTCATTAGAGTTACCGAAAGTATGGTTAAACTCTTTGAATTGATCATTCTGACCATTAAGAAGGCCATTCGGAAACAATTCAGAGAGTTTAATTATGCTTTTGGAAACTGAAACAATATTTGAAAAGCCACTTGGCAGCTGATTAGTTAATTTCTACGATCAGTGTTTCAGAAACCGGCCGTTAGGATTAAAACAGCGCTCCGATGTCTATCGCCCAAAGAAACAAGCTCGCGAACTTGATCTAAAATAACAATGAAAATTTAAGTAGGTACGTGGCTGAATGTACAGTTGGTATATCCTTAACCTACAGTTATTCAAACTCTGTTGTATTTATATAATTACTATTTGTAAGTATTAAGTTTATTTACTTTCTGTGAAATTTATAAAGGACAGCTATTAGGTTTTGTTTAAAAATGAATATTCGACATTGCAATAACATATCCATGTTCTTATTATAATTTTAATAATAATTTTCTATGACATAAAATTTAAAATGTTATAAAGTGTTCCTCGTTCTAATCATATATTCACATTTAAATGAATATTATGAATGTGTTATTATTAGGTAAATATTAATAAAGAAAATAACAAAGTAATTATTGAATAGGCAACAATTTCTTTTTACAACTAATATATTATTTTCCAATAAAGGTCATTGATGACCAGTAACTACGAATACATCTTGCGTAATTGGCCAAGATACAAATCTCAGCGCAATGTCAAATGAGGTTTAAAACATTACGCTCCACTGTGGGTCTTCTTACACTTTTTACTTGCTTACAACAAGAAACCGACTGCATTATATTTTCATTTTTATTTTTTACCGAACTAACAAATACGTCGTTAGATAGAATTGGGGAGGGAAAATTGAGGGGTACAGACCTTAAGGAGGGAAACTTGAAGGGTACTGACCTTCGGCAAGGCGGCTAGGCACTGCTGCTTGACGTCCCACACGAGCTGGTCCTTGGGGAACTGCAGGCTTTTCTGGACATTCAGCTCGGGCACGTGTACGCGCACCAACAGCCAGCCCTCCGCGCTCTCCGAGCAATCGCCCTCCATTACGCTACGCCATCTGTGAAAAATACGATAATGAATATAATAAACTAATAATAAACTAGCGATACGCCCCGGCTTCGGGTGCAATGTATTATACGTATAAACCTTCCTACCCTCTATCTAAAAAAAAATCGCATCAAGATTCGTTGCGTACTTTTAATGATCTAAGGAATTGTAAATGATATAAGGAAGATTACATAGGGAAAAACAGACAGCGTGACGATTTTGTTTTATACTATGTAGTGATAATAAATATTTAGGACACATTTTTACACAACGTTCCCTAGTCCCAAACTAAGCAACGCTTGTACTATGGGTACTAGATAAGTGATAAAAATAAATAAACATGCTTTTCCTTTCTAAATACATACATATTATATAAACACCCAGACACTAGAAAAACACTATGAATCGAACCCACACTCTAGCGCAGGAGGCAGGTATACTACCGACTACGCCATTCGGGTTCTCATCATTGATGAATCACTTCCTTCTGCTTTTATCCCAATAACGACATGACATGTTAGTGGTATGGCTATGATGTTACGACCGGCCGCCTGGAGTAGTACCTGGAGTCAATCATCCTTGAGAACGAATGCACAGATTCGAAATCATCTATGGGTCGCGTAAACATTTCTCCAGTAGGATCGGAGTGGGAATCGAATCCACGACCCACGGTGCCGAAACCACTAAGCAACGGCGCAACCGAAGAATGTTCCGCCAACCAAATGTTCAAGCCGATAATAAACGTCGCGATGTAACGAACTCTGTAGATGGAACGGTAACATAGTTTAGCATGTAACCTAGGTAACATTTAAATCCCTAAAAATGTTGGTAGGAACCAGCTGTAACAAGTATTGCTTATATTAGTTTCTGACGTGAAAAATAAATATTAAATAACACTGAAATAAATAAATTGAATGATAACTCAAGACTTTAGAAAAACGAATAACATTATATAAGTTTTTTTTCTAAAATCTTAAATTTCGTTTAACTTTGTTTTCCTCGCTAAATCAAAGTACATTATTAACATTGTTTTAAGGAAAAAATATCTTTAATGTATGAATGAATTGAATCATTTATTAATTTATGTTTTATGATGACAGGTGGACAAGAAACGTTATATATTCTGTGGTCGTTGACGCTGCGCCGGTGAGACATGCCGCCATCCGGTAACATTTCTCTGAAGTTTAAATTACGAATTCAACAGTCAATGGCGCCAAACGTTTATCATCGCATCACGCCTTTGGGAGACAACCGCGCGGCTCTCGCAAATTAAAGATGGCGACGTTGCCTCACCTTATTAGGAGTAGGGAGGGAATATATTTCTGAAACAATTCCCATATGGGAATTGAAAAGACGTATTTGATGCAAGTGTTTTTTGAACAAAGAATATTAGAAAATTGAACGTAATGTTACGGTCCGCACATCCTATTGTTAACTGTAGTAGGGCTACGCAACAGTTTTAGCTGTTGCACGAATGGGCAGGTCAGTCCGGGTTAGTACCACGACCTCACAGAAGACCGGCGTGAAGTAGAAGTGTTACATTTCTGCGTTTCGTCTGGTGAGTGAGCTAGCCGGACCCACTTTATTAAAAGACGGCAACGCATTTGCAACCCTACGGGTGATGCAAATGTCCATGGGCGGCGGTTATCATTTAACATCAGGTCAATCGCCAGCTCATCTGTCACTTTGTCATATAAAAAAAGTTAAATCGTTAGGCCTAAGGCCACCACTGTAGAGAGGCCATTAGGTTATACGGGTATTAGATTATAGAGCTTACATGTGTTTTTTTCAACGCCCAGAATGTGATAAACCAAGGGAGCTCTTAGAGATACTATTTACAAGTTTAGGGTTGTCAACATGAGGATTCGAATTCGGGTCGCTTTAGTACTCTGCTTTTCAGTATGCTAAAGCGAGAATATTAATTTCTTTGAACATAAATGTGTATGAAATTTTAATAATTGTACACTTTTAATATGATAAGAATAATAGGTTCAAATTGACTATTTTTTAAGACGTTATACCGAGTAAAGCTCGACAAAAGTTTATTGTGTAGATCTTTTACGAGTTTTATCTTTCGAACTCAGAGATTCCACCACGTTATCTGTCAAAAGCGGGAACCTAATCTTTAGCAGATAACACATATAATAAACACTGCAGACGCATGTGCTCTTCTATACGGGTTGCACGCGTGTTTTTTATTTTGCTAATTCTAAAGAACCTTTTAAAGAAACGAGTGATTGGCTATAACTTCAGCTCGGTAAAGGTTAAAAGAAGAACGATGAATGAACGATGAAATGAAAACAAATTAAAGCTTGGCTTCCACGGTAAAATATTTATTCAAGTCTGCTATTGTTATAGTTACTGTTATACGAAGAAAATGGCATTAAATATAACTGAGAGTTGATCTAGTCACTACCAACTAATTGTACCGTGTACTAATAAGTACCATGACAATTCAAAGCGTTTAGTTCGTATAAAAAGTTAAAAACGTTGACTCTTAGCACAAAGCCGTGACAATATATACTGTACTGTGTTTGAAGCGTCGGGAATTCAAAAACAAATTGAGTCCGATAAAATCCGTAAAATGGGTTTTGTTCGTAAAATGTTTCATTTGAGGAAATTTACCATAATAAAGTTTACATTGTCAATCGAAAAACTTAACATTGATGGACACGTGTGTAATCAAACCGTTACTGGACTCCATAGATAAAATCTTAATCAATTATAATATAGGTTATCGTACAGATAAGAGTGCACACAGAAAATACAAACAGACGACGAACAAAACAATGAACGCATTGCTAAACAATTAAGGTCGAGTATAGACAGAACATTCATTAAGCAGTGACCACGATCTCACTTATTTAGTTTAATAATTCTGGCAATCACAGTAAAAGACTACTTAGCAACGCCTTTTCTAAAAGAAATGAGAAGATAATATTGTTGTTGATTGATTAATTGTTGTTGTGAACTCTACGTCGGTTTTTCTTTTATGTACGCTATTTATACTTTTATGTCTAATTAAATGTGGAAACTTTTAATTGACCTTCTGTATCTGTTTTCGAATAATTTACCAAAACTGTATAATAAAATAAAATATTTTTTGAACCTTACGATTTAGACAGATATGTCTACTGATATATACGTCACAAAGCTTAATCTTAAGGCGTGTCAGGAGGTGGTTGCACATATAAACTATGAGCGCGAAATACCAATACAGTAAATAATAATAAATGTACGTCGGTGCCCGCCATTATTAGAACGAGTGACCGCAGATGGCTATACGGCCCCAACCAACTAGGTCAGTACTCCCTTGGCGACTGTCGCGAGAAGTCGCTTGCAATTCGTCACAGTCTGTTACACTGTCGACCGAAGCATCGCAAATCGACGGTGTAGTTAAGGGAATCGAAATTATCTGGTTGACGGTATCTCAGCTACCCACTTTACTACGCTTTCATTAGTTTCAAACTAACGAACAATGTAATAAAATCTTATAATGCAATTTTAACCTACGTGTATCTCAAATATCGTGTAACGCGTAAGGTAACCTATATCATTTGTTTTGACAAAATTAATGACAAACTTACTAATAACAACCGAACTATCACCATGTGTATTGTTTGAAAAAATATATATTTGTGTTTTCTCTACAATGAATTCTTTACAAGTCAATTTAAGTTTTCATTTAATTTAATTTAATGATATGACATTATGATAATCCTTATGATTTAATTATTATTGAAGAGAGCAGTGTCCATTAACAAATTTTCAGTGCCTGGAAGCTTATTATAACTTCTTTATTGTAACACCTATTATATATATATATATATATATATATATATATATATACATATATAAAACAACACTTACGTGGCCAATAAATGATTGAAGACAATCACAAAAATTAATTAATATTAATAATATTATAATCCTGGTTTTTCCCCACATAGGATCTGGTATAATTGATTGGTTTTAAGTTTTTCGTATTCCTGCAAAGAACATAAAGGGACTGACACTGCAACACATTTCCGGTATTTGCTAGTATAAAATAAGCGTGAGGAAATCCCCACCACATGTAGAGCCCACCTACGTGATCTGCTTAACGAAATCAATTATGGTGCAATTTTACTAGGGCCAGAAAGAAGTATTTGTACAGCCTGCCAAATATTTATCGAGTGCAGTAGAAACCGGCCTAATAGAAGTAAACGTCAGCTCTCAAAGCTTAGATAGGATTGGAACGTGATCTCAGATCCACCCTATTTTATGAAAAGGATAGAGATGAGTGTTGGCGCTGGCAACACTGTATACCGGATATGACGTTATCTACGCGAGCGAAGGGGCACATGGTCGCAAAGAGCAGCGGTCACTTGCAGTAATAGTTAGTAGTAATAGTTAAGATATTAGAATCAAGGTAATAGTCAAGATATTAGAATCTTATCCTATCCTCGTATAAGAGGATATAGACAAAAAGTGAGAAACCACCGCCGCCCATGTGCACTCGCAACACTCCAGTCCAGACAACAGTCATAAATCCGTTGCCGGTCTTTGAGCCAAGTAAAGGGTATCTTCGTGAAGTCCCCAAGTCCTATTTGTCCGGAAACATCGTTGGTGACAATTGATTCTATTATCAAAATTGCGTGAAAAACCCACAGATTTGAACTGTGAACCAAAAAGGTAGCATTGACGATGTTGTAGATTTGACGTAGCAATTTTCTATTCGTCCAACAGCCTTCTTAAAGTCATCAAAATGAAATTTTCCTTGCTCTCAGTTTTATTTATTTAACTTTTCCATTTTAACAATATTGTGTTATATGCATATAACGTCAAGCCGTCTTCTTCTCTTAAAGCTGTCCAGAAGTTTCTAGATCATTAGCAAACATGCCAAAGTTAATATACATTATAGATTAATTACTCAAGGGTAAATTACTGGTTCATTATTCTAGTAACAGCCTAATAAAATAATGTGAAGTAAACAGAATAATTGATTTTGAAATGTC